ATTAAACACACCATAAATTAAATATTGTTCTATAAATGGACCATTTCATGCATCAAGGTGATGACTGTTGATTAAAACTTTGACATGGAGGTCTCCTCCCCCAGACAGACACATCTTGCTCCTGCAGGTCTTAATTAATCCACAAATCAACGGATGAGAAATTAAGTTTCCTTACACAATCAGCTAGACCGGCCAATAGAACAATCTAGAACTGTAAAACGTGGCATAGGGATTATGGTAATAATGTTAATTAGGGTAAACATAAGTATACTCTTCTTAATTAAGGAATAAAAATACATTAAAATAATAGATAATTAACTTAAAAACATAGTTAAATTCGCTAATCAAGGTTGGCCTTAGAAGATAAGTTGGATAAATATCCATCCACCTCTCTTGTTCTTGCGGCGGGGAACATGGTTTCTTCCTAAGTAAAACTTAGCAGTGTTACTTAATTAGCAAAACACGTAAGAAAACACAACAACAGCATTCTTCAACAAGGAATTGCTAATTAATATTTGTCGAAATATTAATCCTCTTTGATCTTTTCATTAAAAGGAAAAATCTCATTTCATCACACCTGATGGCTTCGAAGCAAGGATAAGTATGAAATAAATATGAGGTACATGTTTAATAATTAATTAAATTTTTACAAAAAATTAATTAAGGCATTAAGCTAGTGATTAATTATTGAATCCGACGGTCAAAAATATATACCAGTCTATGTTGATTGGAACCCTTGGGTTTACCAAACTAAAGATCCGATGGCGATATATATATATATATGATATGATTAGGTAGCCAAACTGAGTAGTTTTGATCTAATCAACATTAAGTAGGAAAAAACCCACCTAATTAGGAATTAAGATATATATTTTTGCAAGATTATAAGGTTCATCTCTCATGAATGGACTTATAGAACCAAAGTTTAGTCAAGTTATTAAATATTAACTATAAAATCTTAATTTGACATTAACTCAGAAGTTCAAAATTCTATAATTGTTTAATAAATAACTTTTCATTATGTAAAAACAAAATACTCTTAGTCACAAACACCACCCCTTTGCTTAACTCCAATACTTCACCAAGGACATGTGTAAACGTAGTGATGACGAAATGCGTGATGGAATGGTTGAGTAAGAGTGCAATCAGGAGGAGTGGGGTTGTGTAGGAAAATGGGAAGAAATTAAAACTAAAAAACAATTTTTTAAAATCTTTTTATTTTTGAGATGTTTAGATGTAGGCATGTATCTCTTTTTAATTGGGTCACCAATCCATCCACACCTTGTTTCTCTACTCACACCATATATAACACCCCATTTAGCTCCCCTGTCTCTTTCACAAACCAATGATGGTCCCTGGAATCTCTCCCCTCCTATATACATTTTTATATAAATTAGTATATATAATTGTATTTATATATTTTAGGCATGCAAGTTGATCACATTATATAAAGGTGGGTGTGGGGTTTTATGGGTCTTTAGCAAAGTAGTGTGTTGGTGAGATTTGGTGAGACTTGTGTTAGTGGTACTATGGGTAGGCAACCTTGCTGTGACAAACTTGGGGTGAAGAAAGGGCCATGGACTGCTGAGGAAGACAAGAAACTCATCAATTTCATTCTCACCAATGGCCAGTGCTGTTGGCGTGCCGTCCCCAAGCTCGCTGGCCTCAGGCGTTGCGGTAAGAGCTGCCGCCTTCGTTGGACTAACTATCTCCGCCCTGACTTGAAGAGAGGTCTTCTCTCCGAGGCTGAAGAACAGCTGGTCATCGACCTCCATGCCCGTCTTGGCAATAGGTTAATTTCTTGTTATTCATGACAAACACATACATATATCAATTTTTCTGCATTTTATCTTGTTATCTTCAATTATGAGGTTTAAGAAGATATATAATACTTGTGCACTTAATAATACTATGTATAATAATATATTATTTTAAAAAAGGCAACTTGTGTTGTACCTAATTCAAAAAGGTCCACCTATTGACGTTTTCCTTATTTTGCTAGTTAAGAACATGAGGTAGCAAGGTTGCATATGAGAAAGGTGGAAAAAATATGGTACGATTAAGTTGTGAAGTCTCCCTCAAAGATAGAAAGTTGGTATAAACAATTAATGATGCAGCCTCCTTCTTGAAGTTTAATTCAGTTTTTTTTTAATTATCTTCAAATTTGTTGGTCAAGCAATCTAAAATTTGTGATTGAAAATTTCTTCTTCTTCTTCTTCTTCTTCTCTTTTTTTTTTTTTTTTTTTTGGTTTTTTTGATGAACAAAGATTTTCATTGTTGTGATATATAAAATTTTCATTGTTTAATTTTTCGTTAATGAATTATGATCAGGTGGTCTAAGATTGCGGCGAGGTTGCCAGGGCGGACTGACAATGAGATTAAGAATCATTGGAACACCCACATCAAGAAAAAACTTCTCAAGATGGGAATTGATCCTGTAACTCATGAACCCTTGAACAAAGAAGAAAAGGTCGCCGAAGGTTCCTCTCTGCAGCCCACAGAAAACAAAGAAAACAATGATCATGCCGTAGAAAATGATGCCACGGCCAACTCAGAGGATAATTCATCGACCACACAAACTGAAAATTGTTCCAGTGTTGATTGCAATTTGTTAGATAGCATTTGCAATGATGAATCCTTATTTAATAGCTTGTGGATGGGTGAGGCTCCCCTGGTAGATGCATCATGGAACATCAGCAATCCACCGTCGGTAGAAACTGCTAATTGTGGTACCATGCTGACATTCACTTCTGGATATCCCACTACTTATAAAAATCTGAAACATATAGATTTTCAAAAACTATCAACAGAGCTTCATATATACTATTCCAAGCGAATAGTTTGCCGTGTTGCCTCCAAGTTCTTGGATACAATCAAAATAGTTTAATTAGAAAATGTAAAAAATCATGAAGAATTTGGAATAATAAAACCAACATCTCACGTGCACTTAATCAAGTTAAAATTCAAATTAAGAACCTTATGGTAGCTATAACTCCTCTAGAGAAAATAATAATAATAATAATAATAATAACAGAAAAAAGTAACTCGTCCGAGCTTAATCTTACTTGAACTCTAGCTCTCCCTTTCCATTTACTTATTTATTTATTTAAAATGGTGCATTAAGTTGAGAAGATAAATGTATTAAAAAAATGCTAAATATCATTATTAAAAAAAAAAGAAAAGAAAGAGAAAAGGACATATCTAAGCACTGTGAAATTAGCAAATTGCATGGCTATCTTTCAAAATTCAAAGCTTTACAAATTGACACTAAAATAACAATGAGGACAAAGAACAAGGACATTCACCTCATCCCAAAGTTATTTTGATGGTAGAATCCTGATTTACCTCACGCTTTTATTTCACTCCTAAAGTTAAGGAGACTTCAATTCCATGGAACCTTAGCTTTGCTCCTAGTATGTCCATAACTCACACCACTCCCAGGGAAGAAAAGTAGAAAACACAGGACATATTTTTTGTTTTTTTGAATTTGAGACACAACAGGACCTAGGGCCATAACTGTTTTTTTCTTTATATTTCTAAAGGCACATATACTAGCAAAGACGAAAATAAAGAATCCAAAACTGGGCTGCCATACCCACCTAAAACCACACCCATGCCATCAACAAAGCCATATCCTGGAGATTGAGCATCACTAAGATTGAACACCACAACAATCACGTACTCAATAATCTCCTTTGGAACAGAAACAGAGATTTGATAATTAAAAACATCCTCAAACCAAAAAGTTTGTCACAATCCCCATATAAGAAAAGGCATATAGTTTTGCCAGTGACAATTGAACTATACCCACCTCTCCAACACATTTGATAATACCGTAAGGCACCAAACTCAGGCAAAACATTCCTAACATTAGATAAAATTCATGAAAACAAGAGCCATGATCCAAACTCTGCCATTCACATCTATGAAAACCCACATAACAGAGAATCCTGTGGAAATAATCTGAAAGGAGAGTCACCTGAAATGCCCAGAACATTCAAGGATCCATTCCATCTCTCGGCAAGATAGCTTTCATCAAGACGTTGAGCAAGCATGACTGACATCATAAGGCATGATTTAAGGTTGGGTATTTGATTTGCAGATTTAGGGCTGGTAATTAGGTAAAACCTGCAGCATCTATCTTTGGGTATTTTCGACATAGACACAAAACTTAAAGGCAAATAGATAGAAAACTAGAGAAATCGAAGGAAATGGTATGTACAGATTAGATCAGGTCGAAAGAAGAGGGGAAACAGGCTCTGGGAGCGCCCAGCGGCGGCTCCAATCTTAGGGAACGAATTCCCTCAACATGAGAGCGGAAACTCTTAACAGAGGGCCGAATTTATGAATTAAGAATCAAAATTTGACACGCAAAAACAACATAATCAAACAGAGTCTGGAAAAAACAGGGAGGGTAAAAGCATCGACCTTGCTTAAACCTCATCTTTGATCAATCTCATCGAGAAACCCAATTGATGATTCTCACCGCCTCGCCACCATGGAAGATCGCCTCCCCACCGCGCTTCAAGCCACCCCTCGTGGGGCCGATGCCTGAGGCCAAGGGTTTGATCGGACCTGGAATATGCTTTCACATTGATTTTGTGTGTAAAAGTTAAGTGGTATATATAAAATTTTATGTAATTAAAAATTAAGTGGTATAAATAAAATTTTATGTAATTTTAAATTAATA